ACATTTTCGTTCTAATTTGATAATTTATTTTACAACAAATATATAAAAAAAAAGAATCAAGGATTTAAAATATTCAAAATTGCAATTATTATTTTGCAAGGAAATTTTTTATGGTTAGAATATTTTTGATTTTTTTTTACGATAAAAATTGCAATTATTATGGTTAATATATATATATAGTTTTGGAATTTGGATCCGGCATTTAGAATTTTGAGTTAAGTATCGTCTGATTCACAAACATTTTGAATAATGATAAAAGTATATATAAAAATTTGAAATAAACAAGTGAAAATCAATTCAATCAAGTTTATGATTTTTCTGGCCGATGAAAGACTGTCCTATTTTTTCCTTCCCGTTGGGTTCTTTTAAAATAGCAGTTGTATTTATTTATTAATCTATAGTTTTCTATGGATTAATAAATATGTTTTGGGTCCTTTCATATTTAATTTCTTTAAGATATGTATATTTTTTTTTTTAGCTGGTACTCACACACACTTGTCTCTTATGAGAGTTAAACTCCTAACTTTCCTTTGGAAAGTAAGTGACGGATACCTAGGTCACTGACATATTGATTCTCTATTTTTATTTATTAATGTTGATTTCTTTATGATTTTTCATGGTTGTAAATCTTGTGATTAAGTTTTTCTAGATAATCATTGCAGAATGAAGAGTGTATCAGATTACATTAGTGGCATAACCAAAATTTTCTTATTTGAGAAAGCAACTTGTTTTATACTTCATTAACTATTTCATACATAGCGAAGAAAAAAAAAAATAATCTGTTTCAGGGTGTAGGTAATCATATGGGATATATGTAATGAAAAATCAAGTGATAATTACAAAAACGTAAGAGTTTTTTCGACTAATTTACAAAGTAGTGAAATAAAAAACAACGTATATCACTTTCATAAATTTTTCTAAACTATAAAGTGAACATAAAAAAAAAACTGGTCATTTGTCAAAATAATTTTTAGTATTTTCAAGTACCATTTTTGTGTATATAAATAACATTCTTGTACACGTATGTATCATTTTTATACAAACCAAGTTAACAAATTGGTCTGCACAAAAAGTAGTATCTCTGTGCACAAGTATAATACCTATATGTAAAAACATAGGTATCGTGCACAAAAGTGATACTCACGTGAATAAAAGTAATACCTTTGTACACAAGAGTGATACCTCTAATAACAATAGTGGCACTTATATGTACAAAGAGTGGCACTTCTATGCACAAAAGTGATATTTACAGGTACAAAAGTGGTACTTATAAATATTAAGGGTAGTTTGGTCAAATTAACATTGTTTTTTCATGTCCAACTTAGTCTTTCAAAAAAATTAATGACTATAAAAATCTTTGACTTTGTAGATTGGGTTAAGTTAAAAAAAAAAAAAAAAAACATATTAAGAAGCCCTAACTACTGGAATGTAAACACTAAAAAATAATTACACCAAAAAATAGTTTATACATGGCGACCAAATTACCCTGAAGTGCATTTTGAAATTTACTAAATAACACTTGCTTCTCTCTCTATCTGGTATTTTACTTTACCGGTCAAATTAAAGAACTATTACTAAGAGCAACTCCAATGCTATCTCATTTGGGCCTCACAAACTCAAAATATGAGAGTTGGGTAAAAAAGGGCCTCTTCAATGGGTTCTTATTTAAGCTATTAAAATTTGAGATTCTCAAATTTCTTCTCATATATGGCAGTTGCCAAATTTTTTTAGCAAGTATCTCATTTTCTAAAATGGTACCATTTCTCACCAATTATCACTCACTCGCATCTCTATAGGTATATTATATATATAATATATTATATATAATATATATAAATTTTTGAAAAAAAAAATTATATAAAAAAAATTAATTCACAAATAGTGGTAAAAAAATTATAAATAGTCTGTTTTTTTTTTTTTTGGTCCTTTTTTGACCAGATATTTTAGATTTGTACTTCTTTTTAATTAGGTTTAATTATAGTTTAGTTCTAATGTCTATAATTTGACTTGGAATGTGCCTAATATTAATATTGCTGATGCAAATATGAATGGTGGGAATGGTAATTTAAAAATAATAGTGGTTGTGTTAAAAAATAGCATAAAAAATAGCATTTTGCGTGAAATGTACCATTGGAGCAGAGTTACTAAAATGTAGTATTTTGACACTGTAGCACCTGTCAAAATATAGATTTGATATGCAAAAATAGGTTTTAACATTAGAGATGCTCTAAAGTTGCTTCTTCTATATGTTTAGGTGATGAGAATAGCGATTGAGTGACTGAGACTGAGTTGTGCCTTGGCGGGTCTCCATTGAAGACCCATTTTGAGATTTATTTGTTGTATATTTTACATTATTCAGTAAATGTTTTATATTATTGTCGTTATTATTTTACTTTGTTAAGTACAAGTTTTACATTATTCGTGAGCTCCATTAATTCCGGTGAGTTTTGATCAACAAAACTCTATTGATTCTGATAAGCTTTGAGCAAACAATAACTAAACCTTAGTGACGACCAAACTGAACGGTTTTAGTATCTCAACCCGTAAAGTTACAACGAACAAACCGGTAAAGAGGTATAGCCATCCAACCAAAAAACTTCATTGAAGACCCATTTTGAAAGTTACTTGCTATATATTTTACATTATTCAATAAACGATTTACATTACTAATATTACTATTTTACTTTATTCGAATACAAGTTTTATATTATTCTGTAAATGTTTTACATGTAAAGAACGTTTAACATTATTTTGTAACATCTTAAATGAGTGCAGTGAATGTAAAGTGTATTTTTTGATTGCAGTGGTGAACATTTTAGAGAGTTAAATAAAAAATATATTATCTATATACTCGAGCGATGACTACAATGAGAATAGTGATTGAGTTGTGCCTTCGAGCAGTCTAAGTAATTAAAGAGCAACTGAGAGAGAGTAGTAATTGGTGTGCCCTAGGTCCGAAGAGAGAAGGAAAACAATGAGAAAGGTGTAATAGGTTGGTAAAGTAGATATATGAGATGGGAATAGGATAATGGTTATTTAGTAAATTACAGAAGCTACTTAGAGATTATTTGATCTCCATATATTCATGAATAATGAAAATTGACTTATTTATAATTACTTTTTCCTAAATTGTTTTTAAATGAGATTATTTGTGAGTGGCTTCCTAAGGTGTTCTTTTATTTTATTTTATTTTTTTTGAATTAACCCTCGTAAGTGACCTCCAAAACTCCATATTTTCGTAATTATTCCAAAAATCGAGGAGTTATTTTTTGTCTTGCTGATCAATTGGGCCTAAATAGCTTATTTTGACTCTGTCTATTTTGCAAGTCTTTTGGGCCTTGAGGCACGATCTCTTGAACCTTTGCTTTTAATATTTCGACAGGTGCCAAATCGAGGAGTCTTGAGAGGGGCATATTTGGTAAAACGAAGTCACTTATGGATTAAATTCAACTTTTTTACTAATAAATTTAAATTAATAAATTTTTATTATTATAGTGACAAAATTTAGTAATAAATGTTGTAAATGAACCGAGCCGAGTAATGATGTGTTTCGAACCCGGTTCGGTCAACATAATAGGCTGCTTAAGTTCGGCTCGAGTTCGAATCGAACCTAGAAAATTTAGTTTGAACTTGGCTCGGCTCTGTTTGACGCAATTCGAGCCGATAGCTCGTTTATTTTATTTTATTTTATTTTTTATTTTTATTTCTGGTACTTCGCATCTAAGATCTGTTGTTCTAACAGATCTGGAACAAAAAATCTGTTTTTCTAAGATCCATTTTTTGGTTCAAAAAATTTGTTATTCTAAGATCTAGAACAAAAAATCTGTTGCTCTAAAATCTGGATACTTCGCATCGAGCCGAGCAAAATCGCATCTAAGATCTATTTTTGGTACTTCGCATCTAAGATCTGTTGTTCTAACAAATCTGGAACAAAAAATTAAAAAAAAAATTGCATCTAAGATCTGTTAGAATTACAAAAAATGTAAAAAAGTATGAGAGAAAAATAGTTTTGCAGTAATAAATCTCAAAATTTATACTAAAAATCAGTTTGTCTACGTGTACAAGTTTACATGAGAGATGAGATGGGTATTTTTGGTGTCCCAATGGTGGGTATGTGTTTGATGAGTTTGTTGCTACTGTGTTACCTCACGAAAAAAATAATAATAATAAATAAATAAATTTACATGAGAGAGTACAGATGGAGGGAGAGAGGGTGACTTATTCCATTACCCTAAACCTAAAAAGATTTATATACAAAGACAAGGAAGGCCTATTTGCATAATAACCACAAATTTTATATATAATTATAATCTGACCTTAACTTTTGTATATATTATAATTAGATATGTGTGTATATATACATTCACGAACATACTCGACTCGTTTGTTCATGAACAGTTCACGAACTGAACTCGATAATACGTTCACGAACATACTCGATTATATATATATGTCAAGCCTATTGATGTTAAAGTTCGGCTCGTTTATAAATCGAGACTCACAATTCGGTTCAAACTCAATTCACTTATTCACTAACCGAGCTCGAGTAGAATAATTAACGAGCGAAATCTGAACAGTTCGCGAACGACTCGGCTCGTTTGCAGCCTTACTAAGGTTGCACCATTATCTGTTAAAAAGGATGTACATTTCGATTCATGTTGTTCGGTCACAAATGACTGGCCCGCGGAAAGCACCCCCACTATGTGACCGCGGCTGCTGTATCGTTTACTGAAATTTTTGTCCGTGCCTAAATAATTGAGAGGAGGGTCTTGCAAATAAATTTGTAATTAGTATGTATGTGTGTGTGTGTGTATATATATATATATTTGATTTACAATAGCTTTCCAAGAAAAATTAATAATTGTTAATTACTGGGATTTGAAATCAGTTTGGAATCGTTTGTTTGGATTAAATTTAAAATAAAATAAAAATAGATAAAATTTTAAACTACTTTTTTTTTTCATTTTAAATTATATTAATTATGACACCACTGAAACAAGTGAGATAAATAAAGAGTTTGAATTCATGATAATCAAATTCAAAACAGAATATCTACTAATTACACGCAGTTCACATATGTAAGAATGAAGCAATACACAAACTGAAATACAAGAACAAAATTTACTTACCAAAAAAAAAAAATTGATTATAGAAGGCTAGCTGCGTATATATATATATATATATATATATATATAGCTTGGTGTAAATATATATAGGTCATTGAGAGTTGGGGAGAGAAATGGACGCAGATTGGAGAAGCTTTTGAGCCAATGAAAGCTGATCCATTAATGAAAGAAGGCGAGCTTGGTAGGCCCGGGCCTGGTCGACGGCCTCGGCTTCGAGCTCGCCGAGCTGGGTGCAGAGCCGCTCCTCCGCCTCCTCCGCCACCATGAGCCTCTGCCATGTTCTCTGCAGCTCCTGCTTCATCTTCTCCTCTCTCTCCAGACTCTCCTTTAACTCTCTCTCTAACTCCTCATTTCTCTTTTTCATCAGCTCCTCCTCCTCCGCCACAGCCGCCGGTGGTGGCGGCGGCGGCGGCGATTGGTGGTGGCGTGGCTTTGTTTGGGCTGAAGGCACCGCTATGGTTGGAGCCATATTGCTCTCCAAAATTATAGGACTGGGAACCAAACACTCCTGATTTCTGGTTGTGTGGTCGAACCTTTGAATCAATACTGATCTTTATAGACCCAAAATGGGTATGTCCAGGTTCAATGTATCTAATTTCACGCTAGTATTATTACTCAATCGGTTCAGCGTTCGTATCTTTATTTTTATTTTTGTTGTCTCAAACTAATTATCTCAATTCAAAAGTTTTTTTTTTTAATATTTTTTTAAAATTTACTCTACGTGAACCTACTTAATGTATTTAAAAATCTATTCCCTATCACTATAATAAAAAATATTTAAAATTTTACTTACATTTTCAAAAAAAAACGACACGAGAATGGAGTACAATTGATTTATTATTTTAATTTTATTTACAAAAAAATAAAAATAAAAAAAATATAGTTGCTTGTGCAGTTGGTTAAAGGTTAAGTGTGTGCCATCGTTGATTACTACTAAAAGGAGAGGTTGTAACTTGTAAGTTATTCACTCTCGATCCAATGGGGTTGGGCCCACCTGGACTATTTCTTCATTAAAAATAATATCGGATATGTTGGGCTCCTAATGTAACTCAAATTATAATTTTATTTTAATCACATTTTAAGAGTCTTGATGTATAGCTTATATACACCTTTACGTGAGAAGAGATCAACGGGGCAACATGTGATTATTTCATAAAAAAAAATATTATAATAATGTAGATTAACCTTCATTAGCTGACTAGGCATGTAAGGAATATTCGTTCTTGCATTCGAAACTTTTATAATGATGATATGATAACTCTACAATGCCTTTATGGAGATGATGGTACATGTGGTTGAAATTAGGCTGCAATTGGGCCCAACTCTTATCACATTTCAAATGCATTGCATCAGAAGTTTGGCCATTTACCTTTCACACAAAAGGTTGTGGTCCCTTTGCTGAATATATATATATATATATACACACACCACGCAAAAATGCTTGAAATCATCCTCGAGTGATGTTACCCAATCAAAAATAATAATTCGTTTAGATTATGACCAATGACAGATGCATTTATTTCACTTTCAATGAAATCGTTTTTATCTTTTTCATTTTCTCATCCAACTCTTTTAGCTCAATGTCATAAATAATTTGTATTTTTGTATATATTGATGTTTAAATTTTGATATCCATTCAAAAAAATTATATAACTCTTCTTAAAATTACACTTTTATCCATTCAAAAAAATTATATTGTACTCACTAAGATTGTTAAAATTACACACTTTTTTTTTTTTTTTCATATACGTCGTTGAAAAGTGCTTTATTTTGTTATTAAATATGTGCTATGCACAACTGAGCAAACATAACATTTGAATATTTAGAACTTTTTAAAATCTTATACACGGTCTTGCCAACGTGAGTGAATTAGAACACAAGAGTATATTGTGGGGCCGGCTATAATATACCAGTTTGTTACCTTGGGGTGGGTCCAAAAGGCCTTGCCCAAAGGAATTCTGGGTATCAAAAAAAAAAAAGTATATTGCTTTTGAGTGAACAATTAGAATGTCCGATATTTTATTTTAAATTGCAAAAATTAAAATGGGATAGTTTTGGATGCAACTAAATTTCTTTTTAACATAAAATTATCTCCAGTAAAATCTTGTTTGTTGTATATGTAATGTAGTGAGTGGCAACTATTATACCTTGCTTGTTTTTTTCAATTATAGTGACTTAAAAAATAAATTCAAAAAACACAAATAGTGATCAAAATTATAAGTAGAGATTCTTGATTTGACTCTTATTTTACTAATTAAAGCGCTAATGAGCAATAAATAACAAAAAGATGATAACAAGATTTACAAATGTCATTTTTTTTTTATAAAAGTACAAAAAAATAAAGTTCGATTTGTCCATGTGAGTGTTGTCGTTTATTCTCAACATCATCAATGGCACTCCTAGATGTGTTGAGAGACATCAATAATTATTTATTAAGAAACATATTTTAAATATGGTTAAGTGCCAAAAAACAAAAAACAAAAAAAAAAACCTCTGTCTATCATGTTCAAATACCTCCTACATTTTTAAAATGGACAAAATATCAATATAGTTGTCAATTTCAAGATTGAAATATCTAAAATATTCTCAAAACAAAATAAAAATAAAAAAACATTAATTTCATAAACAATTATTATTAAAAGTATTTTAAGATTTTAATAAAAAAATTTGTCAAAATTAAATATTAAAAATAATTTGCACATATTTTCAAATATTACGAACAAGTTGCACCTATGGGTGAGGGCTACTGAATATCAGTGGAGAGGACCCATAAATTATTTGACAGAACGACTCACATGGCAAAGGTTGCCCATCTACTACTGAATGTCTTCTTCATCAAAGTGTTTCTCTCTTATCTTTCTCCAAAATTATCCATTATAGGGTACATCAAATTAAGGACTTGATTTTTCTTAAAGAAAAATCAATTTTCAAAGGATTTTTTTCGGGAAAAATTAAATGATTAGTCTGTCATGAAGAGCTATTTTTATTTTTGAGTGAGACTACTTTAATCATGTCTGAAGTAAGTTTGAAGAAATTTTTTAGAAAAGAGAACAAAAAATTTGAGTTTAAATCATGAAATCGTCGCATCATGTTTCTTAAGGAAATCGAGTTTATAAACTTCCACAGCAAATCTAATTTTTTAAAAAATTTCCAAGATTTTTCATGTCCAAATTCTAGTAAAATCTCCTAATTTTTTTATTTTTTTATTTTTCCATAAAATCCCCAAGGTTGACTTTATACATATATATATATATATTGTACTTGGCATGGATGCAATAAAATATTCAAATACAAGAATCAATTTAAATAATCCAAATTTTTTAGAATCTTATATATATATATATATATATATATATTATACTGATAAGCTGTTAACCCATGTTAGAGGGTAACGTGTGTTACTTGCATGCTCTTATTATAATGGAAAGAAATTATTAGGCACGATCAGTTTCTATATATATTATACTGATAAGCTGTTAACCCATGTTAGAGGGTAACGCGTGTTACTTGCATGCTCTTATTATAGTGGAAAGAAATTATTGGGCACGATCACTTTCCATTGCTATTTTAATATTGTTGGGTAACTACTCTAATAGTCTAACCTCACAAATATGGCCAAACTTTTATAATTACCAACGTTGCAAAAACAAATGTAACATTTATAATTATAATTATTATATAATGATGATCCTAGGACTCAATATATATATATATATATATATATAAACCGAAAATAATACTAAAACCAAAAAAATATGTTGCGGCTGGATGTGGGAACTGAAATGGTCAAATGTAACCTACGGTTGGATATATATATATATGTCCGTGTGTGTGTTTGATGATAGGGTAAATAGGTTAGTGGAGTTCGGCTTAAGTTAAAAGAATTTGGACTTAATGAAAAATAAAGTTGGGCTTATAAACACACAATTTGGATTGAATTTATATTATATGGGCTAATAAAATTGTATAGAAAATTTTTAATAAATAAATAAATAAACCTTTCGCTAAACAAGCCTGTTCACAAGCCGAGCTTGGCATTACTCAAGCTCGGCTCGTTTACTAAACGAGCCAAAAAATGTGTTCAAGTTCGGCTCGTTTACTAAACGAAAGAGCCCGAGCCAAGCTTTTAACGAGCCGAGCCTGAGCTGTTCATGAACAGCTCAGTTCATTTGCAGCCCTAGTTGTTGTAAAGTGCACGAGAAATGTGAGCGGTGCGGAGCAACGGAGGTGGTCATGGTGGAGAGCAACAGTGGGGAGAGCGAAACGTTGGTGGAGAGAGAGGGGGTGGGGCCGGAGTTAAGGCTGCAAATGAACCGAGATGTTCATGAACAGTTTGGGCTCAGCTCTTTAAAAGCTCAGCTCGGACTCGTTCATGAGTTAAATGAACAGAGCTTGAGCTCGATTTTCAAGCTCGTTTAGTAAATGAGCCGAGCTTGAACATTACTAGGCTCGGCTCGGTAAGCTCGTGAACAAGCTTGTTTAGGAAAATGTTTTATTTAATTTATAGTTGGCCCAAATAAATGATACCCAATAGTGTTTATTACTAAGCCCATATCAAAATGTTAAGCCCATACAATAAAAAAATAAATTAATAAACTATTTTGCTGAGTCCAACTTATAAGCTCACATTGAATTAGAAAACCCTAAAATCTCCCCACACAAACGCCCCACCTATCAACCCTATTCTTATCTCAGCATCAAATCTGTGCAGCAAGGCTTCATCAGTTCATCCCCATCTATCATCTCTTTTCGAAGTTCCCCATCTCTCTTCTTTCGTCTCTCTTCTTTTTCTTCCGTTATAGTTGGTGCACGCTACAAATTCAGCCCTATGATTTGTGAGAAGATGGAGTACGATCGAGATAGAGACCGAAGGAGAACAATGGATGAACCTCCAAGAAGGCATATATATAATATATACATATTTACAATACATAGATTTTGTTTATACATACAAATGAATATGTGTTTATATATACGAATCAGAGATTTGATCCATAGTTCCAACTTCTATGAATATCTTGATACAAGAAGAGATTGTATGAGTTTTGGCAAAGCAAGCCCGAGCCGAGCCGAGCTCGAGCTTGGCAAAATATTCACGAGCCGAGCCTGAGCTTGGCCTAGTCAACCTCGCCCGAGCCTGAGCACTCCCCTAATTTAGACGAGCCGAGCCCGAGCATACCAAAGCTCGGCTCATTTGCAACCCTAGTCGGAGTGGCAGTGGTGGTTGAAACTTGAAAGGGAATAAGAAAGATCAGTAAGGAGTGTAAATTAGTAAAATCAAATTACTTTGCTTACATCAACAATGATCACATTCTTTGAAATAATAAAAGTCTGTAAGCCTAGTTTTGTCTATCTCTTGTAACTTAAGTTATGTAACATGTTTGGTACAATTATGAGGATATTGTTAATCAATTATTGTGTTTGCCGGTTAATTAATAAAGGAAAAAAAAAAAAAATTTGATAGTAAGAAATGAAAGGAAAATATTTTAATGAATTTACTATCATACCATTTTCTATAAATTTTGTCTTTTCAAAATA